TCCCTCTTTTCAACAGTTGTTTCAGTCCGTTTATTTATATCATATTTCTGTCTGACTTTCGAGAAGGAGCAAGGAAGGTACTGTGTAGAAAAACCGACAGAAACGAGAACAGAAAAAACTTAATGGAGCTGAGACAAATGGCAAACAATCCGCCATCGAGCCTGAGGGAAGAAGAAGAAGATATTCCAATGACGAAGAAGATCAACAAGTCTAAAATATAACTGGTGTCGTGTTTGTCAAGCAATACAATAGACTGAGAGTAACGATGTTGATATTCAAGAACATGATAAAACTGTTAACGAAGTAATTGTATAATGCCAAAAAAGTTACGTTATAACACCATGAGCCATGCAAACGGAACGTGAATATGCATAACGGAAGAACTTAAAACTCGGCGCTTTTGAAGGAGATCGTCGTGCGGTGTCTAACTTCAGAAATTACATAACAACGTAGAAACTGGATAAACATTTGTAGAACTGAGAAAGCTTGCTGTACATTACCCAACAGAAAATAGTTAGCGAATCATAACTGATTAGACAAGACTTTGATAATTGCAGAATAATTTCACGGTGTGCATTGTGTGCTACCGAAGAAGACAACTGTTAAACAGGAATAGACCGTGTTGATCAGAATCGACATATATCAATATATAATTGAAACGGAGTGTCTAAACTTCAGGCAGTCGTTTTTTTTTTTGTTTTTGTTTTTTTTGTTTTTGTTTTTTTTTTTTGTTTTTGTAAAAAAAAATCGTCGGAACAACTTTACTTTCAATTAATACAGCAAGGAAAATGCAAGAAAGACCGAAATCAATACTCTTCGACAAGTTGCAAACACAAGCACGGCACTTTGAGATTTTTCGACTGCCTGACGTAGACACTCCAAAATTTGAAAACGTTGAAAACTTAATACTGCACTCTAATAAGACCGAAGTACATTGTTGTTGTAAAATGACAATTCTAAATGTTAATGCTTTACACCTGAATTTCTTGACTATAGGAGCTGGTGTAGTCCTGAAACTATTTACAACGTCCATAGAACAGCCAACAATGCATTCGGTCTTGGAAAACACTTAGTCTATCTTCAGCATGTAACGTTTACTGAAATTGCAGTATAAGTCAAAGGAACAATCACGCTATCCCTACAGATTACTAAGCTTACAGAGACTTGTAGGGATAGCTAGGATGATAATTGATATCAGCAGTATAAAAACAACCAAAAAAAGTATAAAATATAATCTAGAAATGGAAAAAGATAGCATACTAGTTATAAAGGTTGAGTTTTATAGATATTGTTGTGCAAAGATAAGATCAACAATGATTATAATTGTAGTTTTTCAGTTAGAAATCAGAAATTCATAGTTTTGACGGAAATTATTCCTGATTATTTTCATTTGAAAATAAGGTTTTGTAGTGCATGGAAAAGTGAATTATGTAAAATTTCTGATTAATTTTCCTTATAGCAAAGCATACAGAAAAGCGAAGATACTCTGAGAAATTTAATTCTAAAATTGTAGGACTTAACATAAGGAGTGAGAAATCTTTTTGGTCAGGCAGATGATCAAAATCTTCGCACATTTTATAGCTATAGGACCAATAGTGATTCTTCTCCTTTTGTCAAAGCAATAAAATAGAAATTAAAATAACCAAGTGAAAAGAAAATATACCTTGTAACTAGCAGA